TAAGGCCATATTAAAAGGTAACAACTTTCAAAAAAGGTTCATCACATAAGAACTTAAGTCTAAAATGTAACAATGCAGGAAAACCTGTTTGCTCTCTTTGGGGCAGTGCAGATAGTCTTCCTTTCTGACATGTTGATAAATGAGGTCCAGAATGTTTTACTCCCTTCAGTAAATCATCATTATTCAGTCTACGAACATATGCTGTAGTCCACTTTTCTAAATTGTATTTATGTTCCGGAACAAAGAGTGAACTATGGTTTGGAACTCAAGTTGGCCTTAATTGTTAAATGGTTTATGATATCTGAACTTTCACAGGGTTATATTTTGCAATTATGCTGCCCTAGACACACAAGAATAATGTATACTTTCAAATCAACTCCACCCTTTTTTGCAGCAACCATGTTATGCAGTTATAAAAGTGTAAATTTAAATTGTAATGCTAACTTCTTTGTGGCAGGATAATTTTTGCTTTATATACAGGGATTCTAAGTTTAGCATTCAACCACCTCAATAGAAAGTTGTGTAATCTAGACTCACTGTTTTGTCACTTCTCTAAGAAACTACTCACCTTTCTCATTTCACATTGATAAAATAGAAGAAATTATTTAATATTTTAAGTAGTTATTTTTTTGTGTTTTACTGGACACAAGCAAATGAGGCTCTATGTGACTATGTTTCTACACTCTTCTAAGTGGAAAGGACATATGACCCTAAAAGGCAATGTTTTAGTATAGCATAGTGGCATAATATATAGCATTTCCCTTGTGGCACTGTAGTTCTGGGTTCATATGAAGGCATTGTTCATAAGTGCTTTAGGTATCTTTTTTTTTCTAAGAAAAATAACTAGCAGTCCCAATTGCTGAACTTTCAGGAAGTAAAAACTTGCTTGATGGGTATGATGATCAATGAAAAGCTAAGAGCCTTAGTAGAGGATAAACATGACTCACTTTTAAAAGTTTGGACCCCTGGAGAGATTCATTTACAACCCTATCATAGAGCTTTGTACCTTTAAATCTCACCATTATTGCTCTGAAAAAGGTGAACATTTAGCTCTACAAGAGTAGAAATTACCTTTCCCCAATATTTGACACTCTCTCTTTCTCCCCCTCTATTTTCTTCTTCCTTCTGCTTCTTCCTCTATTCCCCTATATCCCTTCTTCCACTCTGACCAATCTACCCCTAACCTCCCTTTTTTCTTCCCTGGCCTTGGAGCTCCAACAAGGTCCCACATTTTGCTTTACTGGCCTCTTCCCTTCTGACAGATTAGTAAACATGTCATTCCCTTACACCAATTCTTTTGCATGAGCCTCCATCGATGCTCTCTATTTTTTTTATATTCTGATATGTTGGGAACCATTTCATTTTCCTACACATATACTGTATATTACAAGGGGCTTTCTAACTGGGATACAAATTGAATGGATGTTAATGACGACTCCCATTTAATTTGTTTGTTGTAGTAAATTTAAAGGATATTGTACAAAGATTGTAGAGTCAAATTGAATCATTTATGGTAAGGTTTCTGTGTGATGTACATTGTTAGACTGTTGGACATGTGTGATATGGACTAATGAGGACTATAAAGTGATGTGTTAGTGCTATATAAATTTGGAAAAAAAATAACATCAGTAAAATATTTTTTTAAGGTCACAGCTATATTGTTCACTCATTCTGCTTCCTGCAAAATATTGGGGTCAGCAGAACCTACTGCATATAAATCAAAGACACATAAAGACAACTGGCATTTGGGGCCTCAGCCTATCTACCTAAACTAAGCCCTGACCAGCTGCCTGGAGAGGTGTATTGTTAGACTAAGCCCAATGCCCTGACAATGTAATACCTTATCTATAAGGATGAGTGAGCAATTTGGCTGAACTTGGTTTTACTGTGATATTACAGATTTTACTTTTAACAGAAATTTAATAATAGGTCCAAGATAGTTGAAAGAAGCCTTCCTAAGGTCCCTTAAAGTTCATTGTTTCTTTAAAAAAAAACTTTTAATTTTTCCTTTGCTGTTGTCTTTGGTACATTTCACTAAATGGCTAAAATGTTGCCAAAATGTGTGCAATTTTACCATTTTTTCAGCAAGGTGAAAACCCCCATTTCACTTATCACTAATTCTTTGCAAAATCCTATCTATTTTTTCAGCAATATTTTTTCCAACAATATTCCAGTTCTTGTGCTAACTGATAGCAAGTGCTATCTTATTATAAAATAGCATGTCAACTCTCTTTAAATGTTTCATTGCTGTCATATACAGTTATACTAATCTACCATAAATTTTATAGAAATTTCAAGCTTTGATAATGTATACGTATATTTAATAATACATTATTTCCACCCAAAGTGTCCATTAATAATTTTACTGCTCTCAGCTTGAAGAATCCACTAAACGTCTGCTAGTGATGTGAAGCTGACAGCCCAAAAGGTTTATATTTTTGCTGAAAATAGACAAAAGCTAAAAAGTGTGTATGTGTTTTGGTGTGTGCATTTTATATCCATATACTCTAGTTTTACTAAACATTCTCCAATCAAAGTATCTTAAAATACATGTTTATTTTAAGAAATACAGAAGGTAGGGGTTAGTGCTGACCTCCATTTGCAAATACCAGTTACTTGGCTGTCTCTGGCTTCAAAGCTTTTTCAGTTGTTGACCCAAAAAGCACACAGCAGGTGAAGTCATATATAGCTATGCTAGTATGCACATGGTTACAGGTCAGGGACTTGGCAGCCAAGCAACTAATATTTTCAACAAGAGGTTTAGTACTGCTTTGACCTGAAGAAGGGGACACTCCCCGAAAGCTTGTCCTCAAAATTGTTTGTTAGTGCAAATAAAAAAAGTATCACGGACAGTACTCAGTTTCTGCAACAAGAGGTTAGCAATAGCAAAACACATTTTCAGTGCAATTTTTGTTTTATTCTTCAAATATTATATTAATGTTGTTACTCTTCAGCTGTTCACATTTACCATTTGTTTAGGAATGCTTAGACCAACGAATAAAAAAAGGAAAACTGTGGATAGTACCAGGTTAAGACCAGGCCCTTTTTGACACTTTTTGTTTACATCAATCAATCAGTATGTTTTGATAGAAAATGACTCAGAACCCCCAAACATGATATATTTTTTAAACAGAGAATAAAATGGTGGGTTTGCAATTTTTTTTTATGTCACACTGTGTTTGTGCAGAGGTTTTTCAAATGCATTTTTTTGGAAATAATACATTTTAATGAATTTCAATGCACACAAACACAATATAATACTCAATTTTTTTGTAAAAAATAAAAGATGGCGCTACACCGAGTAAATATATACCTAACATGTCATGATTTAAAATTGTGCACGCTTGTGGAATGGCACCAAACTACAGTATTTAAACATCTCCAGGCATTGCTTTAAAAGCCTTTACAGGTTACCAGTTTGAGTTACACCAGGAGGTCTACTGCTAGAATTATTGGTCTTGTTGGGATGTTTGCAACAAAACCTCACATGTGTGGTGCAATTGCCATTTCCATTTGCATGTGGAAGTGATGCATGCATTTGACTTTGTGCGCAAGCATGGTGGGACCGGGGCACTTAAATTTTTTTCATTATTTATTTTGTTTTATTTTTTATTTTTACACTGTCTCTTTAAAAAAAATTGTATCACTTGTATTGTTATCACAAGGAATGTATACATCTCTTGTGATAACATTAGGCAGTCACAGGTCCTCTTTATGGAGAGATCTGGGGCTTAAAGGAGACTTCAGATCTTTCCTCTGCCCTTAAAAAGCATCAGTTAAAAAAATCCAAAACATTAATCTCATGCTTTCCCAAAAAAAATAGCCATGTGTACATTATCCATAACCAGAAATGACGAAATGCTTGTTTCTTCTGGTGTCCTAAAGCATGGAGATGATTGGGAATGATCCAGTCCCCAGTCAGCTCTATGGTAAGCTGGTGGGACCACTGGCTGCAGTTCTGGATTCTCCAGTGGCATGGAAAGCCCGGAGAGGAAGCAATGGTAGAGGGGATGACCCCTCCTGCCACCTATAAAAGCAATTGAGCAGCTAATTAGCTGCTAGGATGGCTTTTACATAAAAGCTGGTCTCCGCTTGAAAAAAACAATATTGGATGATGCTTGTAGCTGCAAGCATCATCCCAGTATAGTATAACCACTTGAAGTACCAAGGTACATATAAGTATTGTGATCTTAAAGTGGTTATTAATATACAGTATGTCTTCAACCCTATTTTAGCTTTCATACCTCCACTGCAAAGAAAAAAAAAACTGATTGAGCTACATAAATACCATACATACTTTAGCCGAAACACATAATGAAAACCTGACAAATCTTCTAACCCACCCCCTAGAAATGTCAAACTTCCTGTCCTTGTGACACCCTGCTAATATGGCAGGAAGTGAGACTAAATCTCTGTAATGGGGACACATTGCAATAAAAGCCCTTCTGTATACTATAATAACCAAAATATTTTGACTGGAGTTGTGCTTAATGTAGTTGATTGGAGAATGTGCAGGTGAAATAAAGTGTTTTAAAGGACAATATCCCATACAATGTATTACATATTTCCCAAGTGCATTTGTCCTGTATCTGTAAATCAGAAGAAGGTACTCAAGAAGTTGATTGCACTTACTCATGATCCTGTGTTAAAGATTTCAAGCAGGTCATCAACAAGTAGTTATGACTATACTGTACTTAAAAATCTAGAAACTTGTCTGATGCTGACTCAAGGCTGAAAAGCTTTTATTTTTCTGTTACAAGAGCAATAAATATTTTACTGTGATGACAAATTAAACCACTGATTCAAAAGTGCTTGCAATGGAATATGACACATTTTCCTCTGTGCATGGAGGGTAAGAAACCACATGTCAGCAACTTGGAATGTTTGTACTGTAAAAGAAAAATTAGTATCAGTTTTGCAAACTTCGTGTAACAATATGGGCTGTTAGGGCTTACACCAGTGATTGAGGGGTGTTAAAACCCCATTGCTGAGCTGCTTTTTTACTGCCCCCCAACTGCTCCACCTTAAGCTGCAGAGACAGTTGCAAAGGTGTACACAGGGGCGGACTGACCATTTGGAAACTCGGGCACTGCCTGAGGGCCCGGGGTCAGTAGGGGGCCCCATGAGATGCCCTTGGTACCTTTTTCATAGGCTTTTTTGAGCTTGGGCAAGGGCACAGGGGCCCCATGATCCCCTATTGCCCGGGGGCCCCATGATCCCCTATTGCCCGGGGGCCCCATGAGTTGTCAGTCCGCCCCTGGGTGTACACATGCTGTGGCTATCGTGCTTTTCTATACGGTTATGGCAGTGCCTAAGCCAGCACAGCCAACACTTAGGCTACATTCACACTAGCTTTGTCAGCAGGCATCAGACAGGCATTTGGGAAGCATTTTTAACGCTTCTCAAACACCTATGAAAATTCTGCACATGACAGCTGTTCACACTGAAGTGTTAGTGTTGCGTCACCTTGCGTCGTGGCAAAACTGACGCCTCATGTCAAATCAGGAGGAGTTGAAGCCTCCCATTCAAGTCTATGGTGCTGCTCCTCAAACACCTGGCAGGTGTTTGCCGGGCATTTTCGAGGCGTTTGTGAGGTGTTTGCGGAGCGGTAATACCATTTAAATTCATTATAGGCATTTGTGGTGCAGTGTTAACGCTTGTCAAACGCCTATCAAATGTCTCAAAAACACGCATAGGATGTTTGGGGGGCATTTGAGGAGCATTAAAAACACTTCCCAAACGCCTGCCTAATGCCTGTCAAATGCTATAGGGGCGTTTGGCAAGAGTTAGAAATAAGTCAAGTGTGAACGAGCCCTTAGACATCCACTGTCTAATCCTTGTGCAACAGACAAACTTGTTTTTGGGTTCTTCCTCATTTATGTGCATGCAGCAACAGCCCTGAAGAAGGGGGAGCTGGCATGTTAAACCTGTTTTGATCTTTAATAAACATCTGCAAATTCACCTTCCAACTTGTATTTACTTGACACTGGGCACTCTTTTATACTTACTCTTTTGAGTTCTCATGCACCAGTGGTAGGAATGATGCCCTCTTTTGCTGGGGCGTAGTACCCAACTGAGTGCAACCTATTCAAGTAAAATCCAATGCATGCAATATAATTCCTCCTCACTGCCTGTCAAATACTCTCTGAAAAGCAATTTGCATTTGGATTGCATGTGTCAACAAGCCCTTAAAGGGGACTTTGTGCTAAAATGCCTCCCCACAATGTGCAAAAATGCCACATTATAGCTGTAAAAAAAAAACAGTTTTCACCCATGGTGCCTTGAGAAGATGCTCATGAGAAGATGCTCTACATTTTTTTTACACAAAACCAAGAGTAAACCACTCTACCTTCCATTTTGCCCTACTTTAGCCCTCAGCAGTGCTCAGCCAGGATCCCTTTTCCTGTGATTGAAATGGTTGAAAACAGTTGAAATGCCAGCACACCCATATGAGCTTCCTTCACTATTCGTTCATTAGCAAACAATCTTACGTGCTAATAAAGGATTAGTTTGCATTAAAAATAAAAATAATAAATGCACTTTTTTGCCCTTGCAATTAATTGAGTACTGCAAGCTGTTTGCCGCAGTGTCAGATGGTACTTGTAGTTCATTCATTCACAGAACTTTGTACTTTAGACTAAATGCTGTGTCACAAAATGTAGCCTTTTTCTTTATATTGCAAAGGGATATTTTTACTCCTCAGATAAATTAGGGTATAGCTTATAAAGGGAAAAAAGGCATCAGACAGCTCTAAATTTCAGGCATGATTGACACTTAATGAACAGATAATACAAAACAGATTTACTGGTGTATTTAGCAAAGGTAAAGGTAGCAAATAAGAGCAGTTAATTGTTAAAGTAGAATTATAGGCAAAGCATTTTTTTTTTTCATTTTGAATAGAGCAAGGGAGGGTTATAACCCCTGTCAGTTTCTTTCTCCATCTGTGTCCCATTGCGGAGATTTCTCTTCACTTCCTGACAACTAGCCAAAGAGGAAGTGAGAGGAAATCACTGCAAATTAAGGAAATTCCTTGGGGACTCTCAAGTCACCCGGACTAGTGTCCCCATTGGAAAGTTTCCTCTCTATTAATTGTCTGGGGTCAACCCACGATTTGGGATTTTCTTTTACATTCATTTTCAATGATAATGGTAAACAAGACAAATAGAGAGGGTAAATCTCACAAATGAGGAAATAGACAGCAAAAAAAAAAACGGACAGGTGTTCTAATCCATCTCCATGCTATCAAAAACTAAAAAAAAAAGTGCTGCCTTTAGTTATACTTTAAGGTTTACATACACTTTAACCTCCTTAGCGGTGTTCCCGAGTGTAGCTCGCGGTAAAATTTCTATAACAAAAGCGGTAACCCCGAGCTACACTCGGGCTTACCATGCGGCGTTCTCTGGGGGTCCCTGGAGCACTTACCTTGTCCTTCACTCCCGCGATCTGTCCCCTCCAGCATCCCCAGCCATCTCCTCCGGCCGATGCTGGCTTCTGTGTTCCGGTCCCTGTGACGTCGGGACGTACGGGCGCCGGAACCGGCGGGAAATTTGAATTTTTTTAAAAATGTCATTTTTGCTGTCATTGCTATTTCAATGCATTTCACATACATTTTGTCCCTAGTGCTTTGTCCTGTGCCCTGCCTGCATTTTGACTGTTCTTTCTGCCTGGAAACTTAGAAAGGTCCATGGCGTCCAAAAAGCGTCCCTTTACGTCAAAAGTGGTTTTAGAACAGCGATAGTAAATCAGAACCACTTGCAGAATTGAGTGATAATGATTCGTGGGGAAATTCGTCATCAGACACTGAAAAAAATTTTGCGACTTTGCTCAGCGATGTGCGAATTTGCCTCTGTATTTCAAATTTCAGTGTTTTTGGTTTGATTATATTATTGAATTAAATTTATTATTATTATATTATTATTTTTTATGATTATTTATTAAATTATAATTTATGATTTCGTGTTTCAAATTTTATCTTATCCGGAATGTTTAATAGACTCTTGTTCGGATAGATTTCAGTGAGTTATTCCTAAAAATTACAGCCTACAATAAAAAACTACATATTTCCATACAAAAAAATGGTACCACTTTCAGCACAAAAAATCGGAAAGAATCATACCGCCAGGGAGGTTAACTTATATTTACCTTTGCCAGAACTATTTAAATTGCTACTAAGTAACTGTCTCTCTTTAGAATAATACTGGTTTTTCCAACTATACGAACCATTTTACTAAATTGTCAATCCACTAACCTAATTTACTAAAGTATTAAGGAAATCCTGAACATAAAATCCAGAACTGTGCATGGCACTGTCCATGGTGCTGCAATAATCTAGTACTAGTTTTTGTAGACATTTTTAAAATAATAATAAATATTAGACACAGCAATGACATGATTGTATATTTATGGTTTTCACACAAAAGCACATTTATGTTCAGGCATCTAATCTCAGTTGATTTTCCTTTTTAAATCATAATGTACTGAACTCCTGGCAATTTTCAGCATTGCTTCTAATATTTAAATCAATAAACATTTTCTGAGCTATTTTATTGTAATCATTTATTCTGGTCCTCATAGCAACAGCATAGCTGTGTTAAATGTCAACATCATCTTCATATTTTTTATATAATTTTCACATCCTTTTTTTTATATTTTCCCAGGTGAGAAATTATTATTAGTTTTATTGATTGCGTGAATTAGTCCCTTATTGAATGAGATGTCACTTCCTGGAGTTCTTGAAACTCAAATAATTTGAAAATGCGGCAAGGAGATGAGAAGTAATTAAATGATGTGAGACCAATTCCCATACCATATGTTATCTAGATCTGATCATAGGTTAACATATATTTATAAGCCATGCAGGCTCAGAGGGAGGGTTAGACTAAGCTCTGCACAGATTTTTTTCTAAGTTGTTTATGACACAAGCATAGATCATTTTAATATAATATTATTTACATATTAATTTGTACTCTCTCCCATTAATTGTTGCGACTGTTTTGAAAAAAGCAACTTAACTAAATATTTTATTTCTCTGTTGTTGTACAATGTTTAGGCTTCATCAGATAAATTAAAAAAAAAACTTTAGGATTCCCCTTTCTTTTATTACAGGGGTTCTGGGAAACACAAATCCATGGTATGGGACTGGATACCTGATTAATTAAAAAATGTAAACAGGATTCTTCACCAGAAATACTTTCAAATACAAATCCTTTGGCCAATAAAATTGCTCTGATACTGTATAAGTATATAATCTATGTATTTAGCTGTTTGCCTGGAATTTAGCTATACTTCTGCACTGCAGGCTGCATAAATGTGATTTCATAAATCTCACAAAAAAATTAAGCATAAACAATAAGTATGACAACAATAAGTTTGGTGTACATAGATTAATTTAAGTTGTTTTAAAAGGAAAAATAGAAAATGTTATGACACTTTTAATTGCTTAGAATTAATGTACAGAAGGTGCATTAGCGGTCTACAACGCGCATGCTGGGTCATAGTTATGTGTTCAAATTAAAGTAGTTATAAAGCTTACACTTTTTTTTCCTTAATGCATTCCCTTCATTACGGTAAAATATGTTTAGGTCACACTGTGACCCCCTCAGCCCTCTTATAGTCACTAAGCGATCCAGTGCTGTGCCCATCTGTAGCAGCTCTCCCTGCTCTCACAGGCTTTGCTGAGAGCAGTAGGAGCCAATGGCAGTCAAATTCTGTGATGAAGGAGCAGGGAGAGGGGCATAGCTGTGCTGTCTATGGATGAAGGCAGTGTGGTTCAAGATCATGCATACAGGTGTGCACAGGGGCGGACTGACCATTTGGAAACTCGGGCACTGCCCGAGGGCCCGGGGTCAGTAGGGGGCCCCATGAGATGCCCCTGGTACCTTTTTCATAGGCTTTTTTGAGTTTGGGCAAGGACACAGGGGCCCCATGATCCCCTATTGCCAGGGGGCCCCATGAGTTGTCAGTCCACCCCTGGGTATGCAACCATAGGAATCAGCTTTCTATGGTGACACAAGAAGAACAGTAGGAGCCAGAAGTTCCGGTGGGTATCCAAGAAGAGGAGGATTGCACAGAACAGGTAAGTATATCATGTTTGTTTATTAGAAAAAAATTAGTTGACTTTACAATCACTTTAAAACAAGTTATACAAATTTAACACTGGTGACTTGAAGGTAAAGTTGGGTATAAAACCACTGGGTTGAACAAAAAAAACCTCACAGATCCCTGCATCCACACACGTGTGGAGGCAGGAATCTTCTTCATTGTACTATTGAATTCTGACAGTGGGGACCCCCCCACCCCATTAGACTACACAGATTAGTACTGCAGCCATTGACTGCATGCGCTGATTGAATGCTGGTTTTCCAGCAGGTCCATTTGAAAGCAGTACACATATCTGGTCATTTTCAACAGACAGTGGTACACATGTACCAAAATTCGGCTGGCTCCTGCTGAACCAGCCAGATTTCGGTATGTGCATACCCAGCTTAAATAATGTGACATTTAAAAAATATGCATTGGGAATGTTTAGGTCCTAATACATCAAATCTAATATTTAAATTATATGGCTGTACTTGGTATTTTTGCAGGCACAAGCCACAGCTCTCACCCCTGGGAAGCCAGTCCTGAGCAATGATATGCAGCTACTGCTGGAGCAATAGCATAGAGACAGAAAGTTGCTGCAGTTAGGAAGGAGGAGATCAGCAGCATCTAAATGTAAAAAAGTAAAATAAAGTGAAACAGACATTTTAGCAAGTGTGTCAGTAATAACATACATGTAAATCTGCATGTGTATATTTTATATATATATATATATATATATATATATATATATATATATATATATAGACTGTGTATATACACAAACATTCCCCCTACACATACATACAGTATGTACACATATACATACATATAAATACTTTAAACATTCTGCTACAATGTATGAACACTAGTTTTATAACTAGTCTAGAAGATGAGCAAAAATACAGAAGCCTACGTAAATTGGATTGTTTCTTTATTTCAACACCTTTTCCACTGTAAAATGGTGTATTTATATTGCCAGTATAGTGAATGGACATTTACAGAACCTGTTCTTGCACATCCTATATGTAATTGTACTGTAGGAATGCACATTTAATTATAAATAGGTTAACTCTGCAATCAGTGAACATTAGTGTTTGTTTTGTTTATCTGTGAGAGTATTACACACTAAATCTGTCTGTCAGATGCTGTGTAGATGAATGGATTCCCCAGCAATTCGTATACAGAAAAGGTTTGCTAATGGTGAGCTCATAAAAATGACAGGTGTACTTTATGGTTGAATAAATTGAACACCTCATAAGAAATGTATGTTCTTTTTCACAAGACACTTCATGCATTATTAAAATTGAGCTTGAAATAGATCTTAAATACAGTGTATGTAGCACCTGCCAATCATAAGCAAGAGTATTACTGTGGACCCATTTCTATGTTAAAATAAGAATATCATTCATTAAATTTATTTCATGCTAAATTAATTATATCTGCATATACGGAATTATAGAATGCTGGTATGAAATTGTTAGGGTATTAGCAATAAAGTTAATCCTAGTATGCCCTTCCTACATATCTGTAGCAATTTCCATATGTAAGGTTTTGCTGCCAATTATTTACATTGTCTCCTAAATAATACACTAATGTTTAATAACATGTCTAATTAAAAAACTAAAAGAGGTATAACACGCAGGCTTTAAAAGGCACCCACACATTAATATATAAAACACATTATTTTTATTTAATATGCATATGTTTAAAAAAGACAAAACTTGACCATAAAAACAACTCCATTTAATCCTAGCAGCAAGTAGATCAGCCTCATTCAGAAAGGGTTATGTCACACTCCCAGTTGGTAGAATATCATATACATACAACTATAATGGCAAACTAATTCACAATTGTGAATACATTTAGTCTTTAGTACAGATAGCATACAAAATCTGGGGGTGGGACAGGCCCAGGTTCTCAACATTTCCTGGAAACAAGTTCTGCTTCTTCAGGAGGCTGGATGAGTTGCACAAAATATGGTGTGTAAACAGGTAGCTGAAAACCTAAGAGGTGCCTAAAAGGTGTCACTATTTTAATGTCTGCTAGGTAGATGCCATGGCCACTTGTATTAAAACCAGGAGAGAGAAACCACGGAGAGAACACTGCTCACATGTAATGGTTTACCATAATTTTGTCAATACATCACACAAGGCTCCTATTAACATTCCAGTAACACACTGGTGGTATAGTGGTGTTGATGTGGCATAGTAATTGGTATTTAGTAATGTGTCCCCATAAACTGCTGTATGGGCCCAGTGGCAATGTCAGGGGGTTACTTGGGTGTGCTGTAGTACTCTCAAAATTTCTTTAAAACCCTAATAGCACCTCCATCCTGTGGGTGAACTGTGTATTAAAAACACACTCAAACCAAAGAAAAAACCCCAACAAATTTAGTTTCCAAAATTTTTTTTTTGGGCCGGAAAAAAAAATTGGGGGGCCCCCCCCTCAAAAAAGGAAAAAAGGGAAAAAATGGAGGGGGGAAAGAGGGGATAAAAGGGAAAAAAAAAAAGGGGGGGGGGGGGAAAAAGGGGGGGGAAAAAAAAAGGAAAAAGGGAAAAGGGGGGGATTTTTAAAAAAAGGGGGGAGGATAGAAGGGGAAGAAAAAAAGGGAAAAAAAAAGGGAAAGAGGGGGAAAAAGGGGGGGGGAAAAAGGGGGGGGAAAAAAAGGGAAAAGAGGGAATTTCAGAGGGGGGGGGGGCCCTCCCATTTTTTTAAAAGCCTACAAAAAATGGCTTGGATAAAATCCCCGGGGAAAAATTTTTTTTAAATTTTATCGGGTTTTTTTTGGGAAAAAAGGGTTTTTTAAAAAAACCCTTAATTGTGTTAGAAAAGTTTGAAAAAAACCTGAAGCAAATTTGGTTTTCATACCACTAAAAAACAGCCTTCAATGGTCTCGTGGCTCCAAGACCCTAAATGCACTGTTAAGTGACAACTAGAACAATATACTACCATATCTGTAACTAACGTCATAGGACTTGGTGCCCTGCCCGTCCCCTGGCCCACCCTTCCGGCTGGGCCCCCTGCGGTGCGTGCGGTGCGAGTCGCGTTGCGTAGAGGAGGCTCCCTATCTCGGAGGCGCCGGCGTCGGCAGAGGCGGGGGAGGTTCTCATCTTTTCTGTCTTAGGAGATAGGCGGGTTGCCTCGGGGTACGTGTTGGTATATTTAGACTAACACAACTGTACGTGGGGAAATTATGCTCTCAGGTCACACACAATTGATAGATTGGTTTGTACCTCTCAAGTAATCTCTCGAGAGGCCTTTCCCCTGCGTACCACATCTTCCCCCCCCGGCCAAATGATGGACAAAAATGTGTGTATTTCCTACTAATAGAAACTGTTTTCTCATGATTATACATTTTCTTATTGTGAACTTGATCATTTTTATAATCTCTGTAATAGTTTTTGTAAATTGTTGAAAATACTTCAGATAAAAATATTTGAACAGAAATATGTAAAACCATTACAGAAATAATTATAAAGTAATAAGAACAAAAACATAATCAAATAGAACTAAGAAAATCCAAAATAAATACAAAAAGATATCCTAGCCAACAAAAGTGCTGTTATGTTTTAAACTCTGTAGACTTTATCGAGTGCCACTGATAGGAGGACATCCACACTGAGATTATAACTATTAAACTAAACAGCTCTAACGATTGATATCCATTCATACACGGCGATGGAAAAGCATCTAGTTTTGTTAACTGTCATGAAATTTCCTTAAAAAACAATATTGTACACAGTTTAAAAAGACATTATCGATGTGTCTTTATATTAAGATATTGTTTAAAAAGCAAAAAAATCCCGATAATTTGGGGTTGATTCTGAAAGCAATTGTTCCAATGTCGAACATGTCGTGCAGTTATTTCTTCCGTTGTGCTTATTACAAGTGCTACGATCATAGCAAGATCTGCTTTCCTACTCCAATAGTACATAAATCTCACTACTTCCTTCTTGTTTCTCAGCATTTGCAGTGCCCTGGTGTAAGAGTAGATCAAATCAATATCAATAAATTAACAGAAATTGTGCTGATCCCAGGACTCTACTTGTCTGACCAACAAATCCTTTAGAGTACAATGATCCCAGTTCTTGCGCCTCTCCAAAAAAGTACTGGAAGACAATTAAAATAATGCATGAATTGGTCGCTATAGAGCACTTCCTTCAGTAAGAGAATAAGCCCCATACAGAAAAATGCCCTGGTGTCCTTTGTATAGTCTAAAAAACATGGGAGCTCAGGATCAATCCTTTTCAAGACTACTGCACTACTCGAGGCGTGAGTCGGTACGCTTAGAGACTATAGCCAACCCTACAGCCTTGTTTGGTGCATTGATCATTAAAAGTGAACGAGGTCCTACCACAATACGTTAGGAGGCAAGCTGAGCATGCTGCACGCGCTTGTTCAATAACGTTGCATTATCCCCCAATTAGCTTCCCTCCACTAGCCTCCCACATTGTTTATGATTTCCACTATACAGTTTTGACCATGTGGAGAATATCAAAGTTTAGCCGAGTAGAATTTCACATTAAATACCCCCATATTAAATAATACCAGTGTATAAATTCATATTGATGATGCATGAATTGAGTGTGCTGTCAAGAGGTATGCTAGCCGTGCCACTGTCCAATTGACCACATGCCACGCTGCAATGACCTTTTAATGATGTAAGAACTCTGTCCCCTATTTAAATCAGATGTGACCATTGACAAA